GTCTGCACCTCGCGCGCCCCGCTCGCCCCGCGCAGCTGGCTGACAACCTCACCAAGGTATGTCTTACATTCCTGTTACAGCTTACAACTAAGAAGTACCAATATTTTAGTATGAAAATTAATTAAGGACATAATTGGGGGTGGGGGGGTTGTAATATTAAAGATTTTAATATGATAATATAAGTGTACCTGAAGCTGTCTATTGATATGTATAATATCAAGAAACTATCTCAAAATATTTTTAAGTTAACCCTTAATGCAATGGAGTGTTTTTGCAAAAAGAAATGGTTATCAACACACTAAAATTTAAACCTCACGTATTTTTCTTTAAATTAATTCAGTAGATTTTTTTTAATTTATTGTCCGTCACACTAGACACTATCAAATTAATAATTAACATTTGTATTTTCATAAGATTGTTTCTTCTTCTTAGAATATAAGTAACATTGTTTGATACTCTTATGCCTGGTATCCAGAGATGACACACATTTTGTACTGTAACTAAGGTTAAATATATAGATAAAAGTAATAATAACTAACAGATGTTTATTATGTTTATATGTTTTCCGCTTCCAGTATCAGCGGACACGTCTTGGTCTAACAACATGCTTACTGCTGCTACTTAAATTGTATATCTACCAATGAAGTGTTTGTGCTTTGTAATCTTCATACACGCTATTTGTTTAGGAAAAGATGATTTTGCTTATAATAAAGGACACGAACAGCACGTTCAATGACGTCACGTACTGTACCTCTACGTACAGTGCGATACAAAATTTATAGACAGTACAGTCGGGGTAGAAAAACTTTTGTAAATTTTGAAAGTAACTCACACTTATACAATATATAAAGTTATGAAGCATTTTTGCCCTGACTGTACTTGTAATTTATAGAATTGTGACGTCATAGGCGTTGAATAAATGTGATTGTTAAAAAATTATGTTTGCACTTTACTAAATAAAACGTGTATTTATGTTATGTATAATTATCGCTTCTACTCTATTGTTAACTTTATGTACTATCTTTCTTGCTCGGATTTGTGTCAATGATTACTAAAGAAGTTGCCTTAGTGTAGACCATCAAGATTAGTCTTTGCGCGGTTTTAAGTCTTTAGACATGAGAGTTGTCTAATTTTACAAGCTTGTAAAAATACTAAGGTGTTGGTGCTACTCTATGTGTCTGTATATAACACCATTAACAAGTAGATTGTTTGTTATCAAATTTAATCATTATGTATTATTCATTAGAACGTTTTCGTTATATAGTCGACATATTCTTCAATGTGAGGTATTTATAAGCAATGTATTAATATATATTAGGATGATAATAACTTTATTTTTATGGTATTGTATTTTATGAATGTTTAGTAATTACAATCAACTATATAATAATGTATTAATCTTTTATTCTACAAGAAAGAATTGAAGTTTACACTTAAGTAAATGAAAATGAAATATTTAATTTGACAACAGATGTGCCATAGACCAAATATGAGATTATATGAAATAAAAGACTTGTAAGGAATTGAATTTAAATAAATGCTTTCCAATATTTAGAAAGTTGTATATTTTATAAAGCGACTATTGTAATAATGTACTGAAGCATTATAGGCTCCATTTCTTCTTAGACCTAAGTGTAATTAATGGATGAAAAATATGTAAGAATAATGTCAATGGAAGAAGATCATGTTTTGTTAAAAAAAGGGTACAAGTAACAAAGTAACGTATTTGTGCAATATTAGTTTTGAATTAATTACATAATAATATAGTCTTTTCCTTATATATTTTATTACTTTGTAAACTGACATGGTAAAAATTGATAATAAAATCATTTTAACCTCCACATATTTTATTATTGATTTCTGACCATTTACAGAATTATATTCAGTTAACAATCGTGTAAATTAATCTTTACATAAGATTAAATTCATGTTAGGTGATCACTGTTGCCCAAATTTTCATTTACTATGGCAAGTTGCTATTGAACACGGAAATGCTAAAAAGGTTTATTTCTTACTTTTACCGCACAAAGCAAAACAAAATATGAGACATTTTAATGTACGAAACAAAATGAGCCTGAGTAATAATGTAAATAAATTAAAAGAAGAAATTGACACAGGTGAACTTGGACGACGGTGGAACGGTGTGCGTGTCGGAGACGCGCCGCGCGA